CTTCGTCTGAAACCACTACCTTCAAGTCAGAGTGCCAAGCCGACGGGAAAGTAATTTCGGGTTCAAAAACTTCCACTTCACACTTCATGCTTCATCTCAGCTGGCGTCTCAAACAAATTTGAAAAAAATTATTGCAGTATCAGTATTTCTGTATTTCTATTTCAATATACTTTTTGCCTCTCTTTGTAATGCATTTCCGAGAGGTATCGCAATACATTTTAGATATATATCTTACGATCAGTATTTTAGCTACTATTTATTGTATCCCAGTATTTGTATTTCCAAATATATTTTTTAGTATTTCTGCCCAACCTTCAATGAGGTGTATGCAAGTAAATGATGTACATAGAGATAATCAAGGCCGCTTTCTAGCAGCTCATGAAAGCAGCGAAAAATTACGACAGATCTCAGAGAAGGAGACCAGACACAGGTTGCCAACATGCCTACAAATGAGCATGAACAAGACCAAATGGGAGATCCCGACGCCGTGTGTAACCATCGAATCTTGTTATCAAAGGCCGATTGCTTACTTATTGTCATTTGCGTTGCGCCCTTCGGCACCTCATTCAAGTATTTCTTCTTTTTTTTTCACCATTGAGTTTAGCATATATGTGGGCATTCCGGATTTTTTCCTTAGTCACAATGCGCGACAGCGTCGTCTTAGCGCTGCTGTTAAGGCATTGCTTCACTCATACAGCTTTTCCCAGAAGGAGCCGCCCTCTATAAAATGAGTAAACTACGTCCAAAACGCCGAAATGCTCGCAAAAAAAAAAAAAAAAAAAAAGCGGCAGTGATGGGAAGTATTGATTCCCATTGCTCCATCCTTAAAAACCATTTGTACCACAATCGTACGCATCACCCATATGCTCCTTCAAGGTGGACAGCACATGAAATCGAGAATATTTCATGAGGGTGTGCCCATGGGTATCACGAGTGAGAATTCATTACTTGCGAAATAAATATAACAAAACACAATACAGGACGACACTTTTTTGTGTCCTCTTTGCTTTGGTGCACCGATGAATCTCAAGCGCTGGTTTCTTGAGACGTACGTAATTTGATTGAAAAGATTAGAGCTTGATTTTTAAGGGGTTAGTTTCGATGTTTTCAGTATCCTACGTTCAACCTACGTTCCCTTTGCGTTACGATAACATGCGGCAAATAACTTGAAGAGACATCACGCTTCTATCGGTCGCACAAACGCGGTGGTTCAAATAGCCTCCTGGTCACGATAGAACTAATAAAGCGGTATATTGACGCCCGCTACGAGCTGATGGAATTAAACAGACAGCGTGAAAAGCATCTCATTATGGTGCTCGTTATGATTATGTACGTGTTCTAACAGCACTGATACAATGATAACCAAAAAAGGCCCAGTGGCATTCCCTTTTGCCGCTCTTGTTAGGTCCCAGTAGCTCGTAGCGTCAGCTGCGTCTGGATCCAAGCTAGAGTGAAGTGTAGTTAATTTGCGATGTTTACGTTTTCTTCATCGTCTCCAGTCAACACCAGCTAGAAATAATTTAAACAGCACTCCACGCGTCTCTGCTCAGCATAAAGCGGAAACAGGGTTTGTCTGCCCACCTACATTATTAAAGGGGCAGTCAAGTGGTTTTTGAGTTCGTGTTTTGATAATGACAGCTGAATTTAGACGCCTTAAGTATCCCTAAAAACCAAAAAGTATAGTCATACGGTGATTATTTCTTTAATAAAAATGTAATTGAAGGCCGCCAAACCTCGGATCCATCCGAAAACAAAACCACTCTCATTGGTCGTCGCACGCTTATCAAAAGGATCTCGGGCCAATGGCGTTGGACGACTTTCCGTCGCGCAGTGATCCCGAGGTAGCCGCATCGGCCGAACCTCTTTGTCATTCGAGCTTCGATCACGGCGGAGTTGTCTACGCTCAAGGACCTGACGCCGTTAGAGGTTGAGGTTCTTCGGCGGACAGCCGACTTGGGGATGATTTCCTATGACGCCACTCCGACGTGCGATTTGGACGACGAAACGCAGACCTTTTCGGGCGTTCTTCGATTTGCGGTTGGGGCAAGTCGTAACCAAACCAACGTTTGACATCGCAGCGTTACCTCTGGTACGTGACGTCAAACGATGTCGCCACGTTGACTTTCGCCTCGGGAGAACGGGGGCAAGGCTGGTTCAGACATGTGCAACGAGCGCGTACCTACGACTGCGTCCGTTGCAACCGGAGCGACTGGAACGACCGCACTGCGCTGCGCGTACACACACCTGTAACCACTACAACAAGCGCAGCGGGTCGTCAGCACGGCGACCGCTTCTGTACGCCGCCGTCAGCTGTGTCAGCGGCCCCTCTAAAAAAGGGGACGCACTGCTACTCAATGCCATAACAGAATATAGACAGACAGTTTTCTAGTCTAAAGCTTTATTATTTTTTCTTGATAGGCTTGCAGGGTACAGCGAATGAAAAAAATAAAATAAAAAGATGCAGCGCCGTCTTGGACGATCACGACTCTAATACACGACATTGCAATAGTACAAATATCGCCACACGCCTTTTCTACGATTATAAAAGACAATTTAATCTTAGCAGCGATATAGCAACGTAGAAATATGATTTCGTGATCAAATAGACGTTGCGAGCGTTCAGGATTGCTAACACTAATCACTTTTCTCCGGTGATGAAAACGCGTGAAAATTCGTATCCTTTATACGGTACGCGCCAGTAATACCTTGAACTTGAGCACACGCACGAAATGCGCCAAGTCAGAAATCCGGGCGATGTTCGAGGACACAAATGCTTAGAAAGCACCACTGTAGTCGAAGTAAACAAACACGACGGCACGGGCGTTTCTGCTATCTTGAGAGTGCCGCCACGACATCGCCGCACGAGTAGGTGGATGTTCCCTTCTAGTACGTGCTGGGTTATCATAGCGAAACACGACGAAAATTCACAGCCAAGGATAGCGCTTTTACGCGGAACGATGAGCTTTCACCAGGCCGTCCATTCCGACGATCACCACCGACGCCACGTTTGCAAATAGAAGGAGCCGGCCGGCCCGCGACCGGCACGACCAGCCTGCAACGCGCGGAGATACGTGCGCTTCCGCGCATCCCTGGGGAACGGGAAATTCACCCCCCGCGGAGGAAGGCAAATAGAAAACGTAGTAACCCTTGTTTGTGAAACGATAATTGCGCTATCGCGTATTCTAAACTAGAAATATTTTACGTCTTGTAAAATTATCATGCACAACATATTTAAATGAACTGAAAATTGTTTTTTTTAGTGAAACTTTAAAAAGACCGCCAAAATTTTCAAACATACGATAATTTCATTGGTCCTCGCAAGTACAGAAAAGAGTCCGCACGTATTTTATTCCTGCATGATTAATAGGCGTTTCTGCCTTCTAAAACTGAAGATACTCATTCACTGACACTTCCTTAACACCATCGCACCAAAAAGTAGGTTCTCCAAAAACCGCTTGAGTGTACCTTTAAAAAGAATACTCGAGTCCCCTTCCTGCAATACACAAAATCAACAAAACACAGCGAATTTCTGGAAAGATCCCAGAGAACTCGAAATTTTATCATACGAAGAAGTGATAGCAAAAGATATGTTGCGCGCCACGAATTGTCCTTGTCAACAGCGGATGCTTTACTAGTATAATTTAAGTGTCGTCGTTTACGAGGACCGTTCAAGTGTTTGCTGAAGTTGACTGTATTCATGTTCTCCAGAAACGTTTACTCAAAGGCATTTTTAGATGGCATGGTTCCCGGGCGGGGATCGTATACATTATCCATCGGACAACCTGTAGACAAGGTGTGATTGTGAGTCGTAAAAAGGAATCGCCGCAGTATGTGTTGGGAAGGTAGTGAACAGCACTTAAACAAAGTCACTGTCAGTTAAAAAAACCCGTAGGATTTGAATGTTTTGTTCACACTTATTGTTTCGTTATTCGGTATTCTGGATTCTTATCGGTAGATAGCTCCATCTTTTTCACTGCATGGCGATTAACGGGTGCTCGGGTCTCTTTACGTCCCGCGTTTATTAAGCTCTCAATGATTAGGGGGGTTTTATACACAGTATCAAAACTTGCCATGCATATCAAAGGCAGGGTTGTGAAAGCGCTTTAATTTATAGTATGATAGTTTAAAATTATAAGTTTTCCTTTCAAGGTTATTACAAGAAGTAAACTAGGCAAGGAGGAAAAGGTGAGTAGGATGGCATCTCCCCTTTGTTTAAATAATAAAGTTGATTATTAGCGCTATGTGATAATATTTTTTTTGTTATTTTGGGGTCGTAGATATACATTCTGTACTTTATAAACTAGTTTTAATTTTTTTTTTGCCATGTGGTCGAAATGCACACACAATAAAGTGTCTTTCTTAAAGGTGCCCGCTAGCAATTCGAAGGCTAATCATAAATAGGCTTTTTTCCACCGCTGGTCGCTAAAATTACTGCGATTGCTAACTCAGAGATTGTTTCTCTTTGCTTTGAAGAGTTTTAAGAGATACTTCCTTGAGAATTACAGCGGACACTAACCCCCGAATTCATAGATGTAACTTGACTCGAACTTGACTTGAAGCCGTCTTGAAAAGACGCCATCGCGTTTCATAAATCCTCCTTGACTTGAAACGCAAACTTGAAGCGATCTTGACTTGATCCAAATCTTCAAAATTTCAAGACAGCGTTGTACCTGTCTTGAACGTGACTTGGGCGAGTTTTCCAAGATGTCGGCTTCCGACGTCGCTCGGAGAATCGCGGCGTTCGAGTTTGCCTCCCGCGCCTCTGACCTCATCTTCGGCAACGTGTACGCGTTACCGAGAGTCCCGCGGCCATCGGTTCGAGACCGCGAAAACCCAATGGAGAGGTACAACGACGGGCAGTTCCTCGCGCGGTACCGCTTCACGAAGGGAACCGCGCGGGAGCCCACGCTACCTCTTCAAGCGAGCGCTGACAACAGGGGTCTGCCGCTGCCCCCAATGCTGCAACTCCTGGTGACCCCGCGGTTCTACGGTGCCGGGGCGTTTCAGATTGTCACGGGGGACCTCGTCAACGTGTCCCAGCCGACAGTCTGCCGCACGGTCGGAGTCGTGACGCGCCTGATCGCACGGCATCTGTTCAAAGAACTCGTGCATTTTCCGGACGCTTCCCAATTAAACACTGTGATGCGCGAATTCCTCGAGATCGCCGGATTCCCCGGCGTTACGGGCTGCATTGACTGTACACACGTGCGAATTAACAGCCCCGGCGGTGACGACGCGGAAGTATACCGCAACCGCAAAGGAGTGTTCTCCATCAATGTCCAGGTGGGTTCCCAGTTTATCAAAACCGAGCGAATGTGCTATCCACGAAAACGTGTTCGCGCGTTCTTGGCACGATTGTGCGATCGTATATTCGAATGATGCGTGCATGTTCACAAGCGCCAAGTCCGAAAATGTACTGTACACCCAGGTATTTATCAAGCTGCAAATAGCTCAGTTGATTGGCTGTACCATGATGAGGAATTTGCAGCTTCTGCTAGAATAGAATCTCTAGTTTGCAAATTGTTTGCGATGTGCGCTCTCCATTTTAATAAAACTAGAGCATGGAACCATGAAGGTGTCTGCACTCAGTAGCTGGCACACATTTATTCCAGATCGAATATATTTGTCAAGAATTCTCAAAATGTCAACCAGAGAGACGCCACCAGATTCTATGTATTATTCAATCTACTTGCAGGCTGTCACCGGTCCGCAGCTTCAGTTTTTTGATGTCGTGGCAAGCTGGCCCGGGTCTGTCCACGACAGCCGCATCTTTGACAATTCGAGGCTGCGGGTCATGTACGAGGAGCACCGACTGCCCGGGCATCTGCTGGGAGACATGGGCTATGCATGCTTCCGCTTTCTAATGACTCCCCTTGCACAGCCCGTTAGAGCAGACACACCACGGGGCAGGCAAGTAAATCCTAGAAGTGCTTCAGCACTTGGTCTGGTCTGCACAAGCACTTCCTATGATCAAATCCTAGAAGCGCTTCTCACGCGTCCCGACTTCAAGCAGCAAGAAAAAAGTAAAAAGTACTTGAAACAGACCACGACGAACAAGAACGCTGGATCCACAAACACCCGGGAAAAGCTCCAATGGCCACGATTCCACCGAACGCGACCAAGAGAGTTCGGCAGTTAGGCCTAGCAGGCACTCCGCGACTCGGCGACCGTCTGCCCACGACCGGCTGGCGTGCTGAATGGAATATGCCCGCGCGACCCTTGTGAACCCTTCCCGTGTTATACTTTGATCGCTGACCTCAATTTTAGATTAAGAGGTCAATTTCTTCCTCTTAATTGTTATCTCCTTGTTTCCCGAGGCAACGCTGACTCTCGCCGGTGAAAAAGCTTTGAATCTCCGACAGACGCAGGAAAGGTGAAGCAGCCATCGCTTTGACTAGCAGATGTAAAGCAGACGACGTTAACTGCGCCAAACCGCCGACGCCGTTAAAGAATGAGGGGTCTCGCTGCACACGAAAGGAGGGAAAAAGTGTTTGGGAGGGAACTTGCAGACACTAACCACCCTCACTCTCGGTTCTTAGCAAACAAACCTCGGCGCCTCGGGACACCTCGCCAGTTGAGTCCTTTGACTTCCCTCCTTGCATGATGCGCGTCTGCTAGTTGTCAGACAAAAAACAACGTACTGCTCGAGTTATTTCGTCTGCCCTCTCTGAAAGGCGAAGTCGAGCTCGCTCGACTTCCGAAAGTCGCAGGAAAGGTAAGACAGACGCAGACGACGTTGAGAGCAGATGACGTTGCAAGGAGCAGACGACGCTCAGATAGAGGGTCGCGATCAGCCAATCAGGGCTCGGCGTTCTGACGTCATCGCTACTTCCTTTTTCATGCGCAGAAGACGAAAATCAGCCTACTTGCGAGGCGTATAGAACAAAGCGTGGAGGAGGTTCACCAATTCACCTACGTGTTTGAAAACTACACAATGGAAGGAACACCGAAAAAAGCACCAAAAGAAAACTACACAAGTACGAGGAAGTAGACAGACAAGAGCGCACTAGCAAATGGTTTTTATTTGTGAAAACTAACCGTACTGGAAGGAAACAGTGTTTTGTGGAACTTCCGTTTAAGCAGTGTTACAATTTATATGCCCCAACTGAGGTCTTGTACGTCACTCCGAGGCGGTGGTGCTTTTAGTGCACTTCCAATGGCGTACCAACTTGTTTTTAAATGGGAAGGCAAACCAGACCCCCCCCCCCCCCCCCCCCCCCCAGGACCGGGGGTGGTGTCCTCGGTATCCCTTGGGCGCTGCCAGCCAGTGTTTGCCCTGCCCAGTGGCGGCTGTTTCAGAGGGGGCAAAACACATGCCTTGCCCCCCCCCCCGGTTGGTACGCCCATGTGCACTTCTAGTACAAGGATGTGGGAAAGAAAAGCCAGGCCTGAATTAACGTCATTTCAAAGCTCCTGGCTTTTTGAAGCAGCGAAAATGGCGTAGAGTGCTGCTAGCGGCTGCTGTGCTTGGTGTCTCTGGTTTCAGCAACTTGGTTTTGTTTCGCTAACTGTCGCATAGAAAACTGTTCATCATGCGGACTTTGTTTGTGATGTATAAGCAGTCTTCAAACACCCTTCCAGCACATGTCACCGTGATACCTGTGCTCCCTATGCTGTGTACCAACCTACTGCTTGCATTGGTTTCCATCCAGCATAGAAGCACGAATGTCGTGGTGACTTTAATTCAAATCTGTTTGCAGGTAGTTTGATATATGGCGTATAAGCGGCGAGGTCCCGGCTTTACAATACGAGCTCCCCCTACAACTGCTAGAAGTGCACCTGGTTGCGTTGTCAGCATAGTGAACTTACATTTATTTCTCCCATCAGCCAAAGAAACGTCTGTTTCCTAGAAGCTGAAAACGATGGGGCCATTCTCGCCAGCTGCTGTTGCGACTGCCGCCATGTTGGTCATCTACGTCCACTCTTGCAGTGATTTCATTGCTGCGCCATTTGCACCAAACTGTGCCAAAGTGCTTACCCTGCTACATTTGACCAAAATGTGAGGAATTTGCGCCAACATTGCACCAGAACTTAAGTTCACTTAAATATTACTGAAAGTATAACAGCTGCAGGCTTTGGTACCGAGTTGGATTGTTAGGGTAGGCTCGTGCGGGGGTTGTCAGGACTTTCGATAATCGCCTCAAATAACATACTATTTGATTTGATTTTGTACCAAGCACTAACAGTACTCAGAAGTTTTGCAATAAGTCTCGTGGTCTGTTCTGGTGGGCTAGGTGCTCGAAATGATTGTATTTTAACATTTCTTCAGTGGGATTTTGTACATAAAATAATCATTCACGACAGTTTGCACTGTCCTTCATCAGTCGTCTTCTTGTTACCGTGTCTGGTGCCTCCACACGCAACTAAACAGCTAGTGTTTGTTCTCCTCCTAATATTTGACGTCTCTCCTCCTCGCATTTGCAGTGATATAAATGAAAATGAAGAGTGCAGTTATGCTCCAAAAGCTCTTTTTCCATCTCCAAAATGAAGTTTTCGCTGCTCCAATAGCTACTCCAAAATGACTGCGACCAATCACATCACTGCTCTTCGCATGCAATGAAACATACCCATGATTCCTCGCGCAAGCACTCAATCCACTCCCACCAAGCAGATCAGTTCCGATTCGATGTGCCTGGCTAGCAAATCGGGGCATCTACATGGACCAATTTGATTCGCTAGCTCGATTCAATGCACTAGTATCGCATTCGCATAAACATGGCCACTATAATAAAAGAAGTCCTGTTTCCGTCCCCGAACTCGATGTTTTATCCTTTCGTGTATTCATATCTATTCACCAATCTGCTCATTTTCAATTATTCTTATAAAGCATTCCTTGTCATTAATCTCACTCTCCGGTTGAACACCACATTCAGCTCTCACCAGTTCTCTCGGGCGGGAGATGAAACGACAATGTTTATCTGCAGAAAGAAGTTGCAGGCCTCCAACGACTTGCATGCTTGTTTATAGGGTGAACCTTCTAACTGCACATTGCAAGTAAAGTTGAAGATGTACATCACCTAAACTTATTTATACTTTCTCATTCAACCAGGTACAACAAGGCCCACATAAAAACACGAAACACTGTCGAGAGGGCGTTTGGAGTTTGGAAGCGGCGCTTCCCTTGCTTGGATATGCGGCTCCAGCATAAGCCTGGTCGCTCTGCCAGCATTGTGACGGCCTGTGCTGCCCTGCACAACCTGGCATGCCTGAGGAGGGAGCCGCAGCCTCCACCGCCTCCACCTCCACCAGTCAGGCGCAGGGTCCGCAACAACAGGAGGAGGGCCAGGCGACCGGTAAACCTGCCCCCCGTTGATGCCGTGGAGGACACCCTGACGGGCATCCAGACTCGAGAGATCATCATTGAGAAAAACTTCACTTATTAGAGGTACGCCAAAAAGGTGTTTGACTTTGTTCAAGCAGGTGGCTATCCTAACCCATACCGGCTAAACACTCCAATATCCAAAAACATTAGTCGAATGCCCGATTCCCACAAATTTGCGAGCTAAAATAGGCATGTTCTTTTCCTCTTCATCTTTGCTCTTTCAGAACGAGGAAGAAAGTGACAGCCGCAATACGAATCCAATCGTGCCATTAGCGGAGCCATGTACCGTGCCTCTGGAGTCTGGAAAACCTAAAACATGCTTCAATAAAGAATCTCTTTCATGCAAATAAATTGGTAAAATGAGGGAAGATGTTTGGCGGTAAGGTTGCTGAGGGCTTGTAAATATATAAAATAGCATTTTATGAAACTGTCCTATAGAAAAAGCTCATTATTTAAAAACTAGTCCACACACAAGTGGAGGCACTGGGCATGCGCATAAGCCAGCTTTGAGTGACGTGAAGCATCTGCACGTGCACCATGTGATAAGCAGCGCCATTGCTACGACAGACGCATGTAATGTGAAGGCATTTCTTGGAAATGCGATTCGCTGTAGATTATGCTGCTGTGTGCAATTATTTCGGAGTGATTTGGAGCATTGAACAGCTCGCCTAGGGAAAATCTACAAAACATTGCTCTAGTGTTGCGCAGGGATGCAGGGACAAACTTGCTACATCATCAACGCACTCTAAATGCTCTTCGATGAACTTCGCCACGTTTTACAAAGGTTGCCCATCTCGAAGGAATGAGAGTTCTAACTAAAGTGCTTTGCAAACTTCGGCCTCAACTTTGTGTACGACAAGACAAGTGGCCTTGCAATACACAGTGGGGAAGTTCACAGCGTGTTCAATTTTGATTGCCTTCGCTCATTTCTGCAGGCTGTTGTCATGGTGCCACTGCAGCAGGCAGAGATGGAGGGCATGCTCCTGCCCTGAGAGAGCCAACCTTCTTCCCCTGGCGACTTTTCTAGGGACACCATTAACCATTTGGCCTTTGGGTGGCCTGGTCACAATCGCTGCCAACCACCACGGCTACCTACCTACATTCCTGCCACAGCTTGCATAAGTTCCAGCTCCATCATTGCTGCAGCAAAGCAACAACATCAGACTGAGCTGTGTTGGTGCCACTGTGCCGCAAAACATATGTATCCATTGAAGGAGCACTGCAATAAAAATTAAAATGTATCTATTTCATCTATGAGCAAGTTATATGTGATTACCCACATCCCTGCTAAACAGCGCACTCTGGCTAGGGCTCAAACAGCACCTTGCCAGAGCATGCCGTTTTGAGCATCCTGACATGACGCTCCAATTTTACTCTCCACACAGAAAATTTATGTGTTGTCAACATTGTAGACTGTGCGTTATGTAACACATTCCTCAGCGTGTGATGCTACATTTGAGACTGACTGGTGCTCTAAAAAAGTCGAACCAGTACGGTAAGACTGTACTAGGGAGCACAAAACTTCTCTTCCAAAACAGAAAAAATATAAAGAAATTTTGGTTATGGTTAGAACGCTTGTGTTGTAGGGTAATGTTATAAATAGGACAACTTTCTCAAAGTTTGTCTGGTTTGAGTTTATGTACGTTGAAAACATGTCGACGTGCGTTTGGTTGAGCCGCTCAATTAGGCCTTTTGCTTACTGGGCCGAAGCTGTGATGGTGCGGTAAACAACATTACAGGCCTGCAGAAGTTCTTGTACACGTGTTGATCAAATTAGGACACCACAGTGGCTCATCAATTGTTGTGGAGCTCTATGGCATAATAATGCCGAGTCAAAAATCTGAAACCTCCGGAGCAGTGGCAGCTGGCAGTGCGGATCTCTCGACGTGGCTGGCCATATGATCAATTGCCACGACGACCCAGTGATTTTCTGACGTCGAGGAATGCAGTGGTCCTATAAGATAAATCTGAATTCTTTGAAATGACCGTTCAGGTGAAGGCAACAATAGAAATAAACACATAGAAAACCGAGGCGGGCGCTTCCTCATTTGGCAGTATGGAAAATCTTAGACGAATCGCTGTGCACTGCGACATAGCCCCGGCCTTAAGTAACGCTGGGAATATATTTACCTTCGAGTGTTCTAGAAGGCATGGGTATGTATGAGAACTCTTTCTGAGTGAATTCAGTCCTCTTTAGATCATCCAAGGATTGACTGACATCTTGCTCCTGTCATGGGTACTGGCTTCAGTAGTGTTTCTGTTGCACGTGCAAGCTCAAGACTTGAAGAGGCACTAAAGGGGATCCTGCGATCGTCTGTTCTTGGTCCTAATGGATTCCACGGGCCCTAAGCATCCTAAAATTCCAAAAATTACAATCACGTGATGCCAATTTCCTTATTAAAAACGTGATGGAAGGACAGGACACACCTCTTACTGAGCGTATTTTTCTGCTCGGGAAAGGCGGGGCATGCCCCATCAGCAGTGCAAGCACAGTGACGATGGGCACTCGCCGGCCAATAAGCCGCCTCTCCTGGAGAGGGGGTTTGCAATTGGCCGACGAGCGCCCATCATCGCCGCACTCACACCGCTGCTGGTGTTAGCCTTGCCCGAGCGGAAAGATCCGCTCGGAAAGGGCTGTGTCCCGACCCTTCATTGTGTTTTTAATAAAGAAATCAGTGTTGCGTGATTGTAATTTTTGGATTTTTACAATGCTTTAGGGCCGATAGAATCAGTTATGACCAAGAACAGACGATCACAGAATCCTCCTTAGTGCCCCTTTAAAGGGGCCTTGCAATCATATTTAAGCATCTACCTTTTATGCGGTTTCAACGTCTCTTGGGGTTCGGGCAAGCCAGCGGGCACGGAAGGAGTAGTTAAATATCAGTGCGCCATATTTTGACCGGACGACACGGAAACCTCCTCCAACGACGAGGGCGACCCACGGTACCGAAAGCGCGCAAAATGTGACGTCTTTGGTCCTGGGCTTACTACTGGTCAGAGCCACTAAAAACTTCTTTTTGGTCAAAATACAAAATATAAGTGGTGCGAACCGTTTCAGTTATTTATAAAAGTAGTTTTTGTTCACTATTATAGATGAAAAAAAGAAAGAAATGCAGTTTATAAAGTACGGAAACAAGAAATGACCCGTCAACATACCCACCGCCAAGCGGTGGAAAAGGCGGCGCATACTAGAAAAGAGTAGTGGGATAAGGCGCCGACACGGAAAAATCCCGGATATACGCGGTGGCGCTGCAGTCGTATGGACAGGAGGATCCGACCGGCTCCGAGCGTTCCGAAGGCCTTCCGCGAGAGGCTTTGTCTTGCGGTTTGGCCGTTTCGCGGTACGGCAGCGCGAAGTGGGCTCCCATTCTGAACTGATCTTTACCCCGTGTTTGCTGTCGTTTGTGGCCAATGAAATGTCATGCAGAATTATACCCCTGTTACACGGGCACACTTAACCGCGGTTAACTCAGCTTAACTGCTGTTGCGCGGCACCACAGATACTGCACTATACTCTCTGACAGCTATTTCAGAAGAAGTGAAGAGCGCGCGCGCCCTGCTTCGATAAATGCTCAAGATGCTCAAGCGCACGTTCGCCCATAGCTTTGACTGCATTAACGCAGAATGTTGTCCGCAAGTATTGTGCGCTATCTGTGGCTCAGCGTAACTGCAGTTAAGTGTGCCCGTGTAACAAGGGTATTAGTGTTTAATAGCGCAGCAAACGCAATGAAAGCCGCTTTGGCTGCCCGCTGCATACAGCCTATCCAGAACATGCTTTAGTGGCGCCCCCTGGCGCCGTCGACACGGAGTGCGGCGGCCGTGAGCGCTCGATGAGCTCACTATTCCTCCTCTAGTTCACGGCCACTCAAGCCAGGACCTACGACGTCATGAAGGAGGTTATTTTTTGCTTGTTTTTGTAATTCTAAATTGCCTATAACTTTTAAAATAAAGCGAATTTCGCGAAAAGAAAGGTTTCACTAAGTTACTATGTTCAGTGCGCTCAGGTTCGGTGCAAATTAAAAAGCAGTAAAAAGTCCTTGCAGGGCCCCTTTAAGCAATGATGGTGTGAAATTCTGGGGTGATCCTTTCACGTATATTTGATGTTACCTTCATCTGAGCGAGTCATGTGATATAGCCCTAGCTTTCCTCTTGCAAGTTCTATGAAAGAAATCAAACCACCTTTTAAACTTCCAGGTTAAATTTGAGCACCCTCTTTATTTTTCAGCTTGCTTGAGCTGCTCGAGCTTCAGAAGTACGAGTTATTTTTTGGCTCGCTTTATTTCCATTTCCAAGCTGTGCTCCGTTGCCCTTTTCTGCAGTTTGTCATCGTGGTCTTCCTTCATGAGACGGAGGCGGAGTGCGTGCTCCTCTCGCAGTAAGGTTTCTCTCACCTCATTTTCTTTGGCTAAGCTATTCTCTAGGACCGCCATCCTGCCTTTGGGTAGCCTAGTGGCGGCGTGGCTTGAGGCGTCAGTTCCATCAATGCTGTACCTAGCGGCGGCGGCTGCTGCGGCTGGATAGCATGAGCTCGAGAGTGCCCATTGCTTTGAGCTGCTCCCGTGTCTACAACACTGGCGCTTGTGCAAGCTGCTGATGTGACCTCCGGCTCGCTGAGGGGGCTTGGGCTTGTAGGTCGATTGTGGGCATCTGAAATAAAAAGGGTGAGCAGATATCTGGTTGAGGAATTATATGCAGCACGTTGCATACAATTTACATACCAGAAATTATGTAGTGAGCTCAATTGTTGATTACGGCAATCAGCCATATTTCACTCCACTGCATGTCTCTATTCTGGTGTTAATTTTTCTGCTTATTGTTCATTGTTCAAGTCACTTGCATGCAAAGTAACAAAAGTTACTCTAATGACAGAGATGAGGCAACCAGAACCTGTGATGGCTTGATAATGTTATTAATTGTACTGGTTGTCACACTGGAAGTGTGGCAAACAATTGTCTCAGTGAGTCTCTGTTCTGTCATTCCAGTCGCTTTGAACGCAACTCTGAACCAGGCTTCACATGGTCCACACTTTATATATGTCCGACTTAGTGAATACAGGAATTTAAACCAAAACATGCAGTGTTGCGTGCATGGTTTTATGGAAGCAGTCTATTTGGTCAAGCTATTATGTAACATTACACTAGGAAAGATGCCATGGCCCTCTCCTAGCGTGACTTTGTCTGCAGCTCAAGTGTATTTTGAAAGTGCATAGCTTTATAAGTATAGAGACTATTCACTTGCGGCTTACGTGCAAGTTGTGTGCGGTGCATTCTGGGTATATCACCATCTTTGGATTCCCTGACAGCAGACAGTCGC